CTTCGATAAGATGCAACAACACAGACTTGCAACTGTAACCTTTTCTATATGGTGACCAGAACTTAGATAAATACGGGCTGAAGTAGTGAACAAGCTGTTTTTGCACACATCTCTCGAAAACCTTGTCCAACATTACTAGGATGAATACAGGCCTGCATTTGGACTTGTCAAACTCGTCATCTGTCTTGAAGATAGGACAGATCTCTGCTAGTTTCCATTCAGCAGGAACAGAAGCATTATCAACAACAGTGTTAATCAGTCGCGCAACAGGACCAGCCAAAACTGAGGCTCCGTCCCGTAAGACACGAGCAGGAATCTGATCATGACCAGTAGCTTTATTGGGATCTAAGGACTTAAGAATTAACTGAGTTTCGGCCTTTGAGACGTTATTAAACTCAAACTGAGCAGCCAGCATACATTCGTCTCTTATAGCTGCAATGTTTGGGTGAACACTTATGTCCACAGCAACATTCACCTGAGCATTAGGATCACTATCATGTCCTCCACCTATATTTTGAATACGAGAAAAATAGTGGTTGAAGATCTCAGGCACTTGCTTCTTGTCAGTCACAAGTCCCTTCATTGTTTCTTCGTTTACAATGCATAGAGAGCTTAATTGTATGCCAGAATTGTTTTGGATCACCTTTGGAACTGTCTGCTCTTCACCGGAGATAGTTTGAAATTTATTTTCGTCTTAAGGATGAAGGAAGATTACGCTGAAGTCTGTATTTCTCCCAGTCCCCAGGATCCTTGGAATGAAAGTATAGTTTTCTTAGTTTGTTACGGCGACGAAAGGAGCCAAGTAGTTCTGGTGTCATGAATGGCACATGCTCACGCTTAGATATGGATCTCTTGACTGGAACATGTACGTCCAGTCCGTTGGATAACAGTTCCATGTGCAACATGGAAGGGAACTTTAGAAATGTCAGCTGAAAATGATCCTGGGTCATAATGCTTGAAGTGGCGCTTTAAAACTGTTCTAGGACTGAATTTTGGACATTGTAACCACATAGCAGTGTAAATAAGATTGTGATCACTTTTTGTACACAAAAAGAATTAAACTGAATTTACTTTTTAACATTTCGTACCTGAATTCAAATTTCGCGCAAACCTTGGGTTATCTTAACCCTGCTTTGGACAACCCGGCCCTGGTGTTGACTTTTCAATGGCAGGTCTAGTTGTCACAAAATTCGTCTTTCGTTGTTACTTATTCATTTCAATTAAAACTACATATAAAAAAAAGGATATTTTAACAAACTTCAATCCAAGGTCAGTTATGTTGACCGGACAAGGATAAAATCACTTTTAAGGCGATCGGAAAATATCGGTAGGGTAACCAGTAGTTCAAACATACATAATTTTTTAGTTCTCATAGAGGTTATTAGATTAACACCACACTTTAAGTTCCTGGTGTCGGCTTTACAGTAGCAGGTCTAGATCGTGTAAAATTCGGCTTTTATCGATTTCAACGGTTTTGTTTATTGTTGTTATTAATAGTGATATCGATTTTACTTAAAACTGCAGTTTGACAAACTTCAATTCATACTCAATCTTGGTAAAAATTTCATGGCGATCGAACGAGGATAAAATCCCTTTTAAAACGATTAGAAAATATCGTTATGGCCTCCGAAAAACTGTATCGAAACTCCTTAAAGTAAGGCCGTCATTCAAAGACAATGCAAGCCTCAATAAATCTTGAGTGAAGGCATCCTCTGAATGACCTGTTAATGCGTTTTGCTTGTAACGACCATACTTTGGGTATTTTGGAAAGAACCAGGACTAGGACATCCATTACTGTAAGCCATATGAGTAGTGTAAATATTTAGCTTGAATACCCATGCATGGATGTATCGTTCTGTACAGGACTTCCGACCTTTGCCATGACATCAGCCGCATTTATAGTTCAATAAACACTTCAAACTTAAAGAAGTTATTGTCCTTCATTTACTTAGAAAAAAGAAACAAACTGAAAATTCGTTTACATAAAAAAATTCAACAAAAAACACGGAACCTCAAAATACACGATAAAAAGGATTTGTAACTTTATAAAAATAAAGTTACTGCACGGAAACTCTAAAATTGCCATGACATCTGCCGCATTCATAGTTCAATAAACACTTCAAGCTTAAGGAAGTTATTGTCTTACATTTACTTAGTAAGAAGACACAACCTGAAGATTCGTTTACATTAAAAAATTCGACAAAAAACTCGGAACCTCAAAATACACGATAAAAAGGACTTGTAACTTTAAAAAAATAAAGTTAATGAAAGGAAAATATAAATTGGATAAAGAAAATATATATCTACACGCTGATTGTATTGAGGTACTACAACTATAAACATATACCGAGCGCACATTCTAAGCCGGTCTGCAAAATGTCAAATAGAGTACTGAAACCTTTCATACACACTAAAAGATTCTAAAAATACAGAATACCTTAGGAATGACAAAACTATAACTCAAAGACAGAATTGCCCGCTAAATTCAAATTTCTTTTTCAGCTTCGAAAAATAAATAAAAAAATACCTTGTCTTTTTTTTTCTGACTTGTGATATTCAAAACGTCTCAAGGTAATAAAGCAATTTTACACGTATGTTCTCTGGTAAATCTTTCATATTCACGTCATCTGTAGTGGGTTATAAAGTGCGGAAAGTAAGTAAAAAGCTTTATCAACCGGTAAATCTTACAATATTTGCACAGATAGTGAATGAAATCCAAATTACATGGGACGAATACTCTTAATACGGTTTGGCTATACTTTCTTTTCACGCACATTAGCTTGTGATTTCAGTTACATGTCAGTGATGCAAGCATTCTGGCCTGTAA